GTGAAGTTTGAATATGAAGGAATAATTAAAAGAAAAACTCTTCTATTGGTTTCCTACTGTGTCTTCTTTATCCTGTGACAGTTTTTCTCTTTTAGCCGGTTATCTACATTCTTTTATATATTGTAATCTAGGTGTCGTCTGCGATTTTTCCAACATGAGCACTAACCCTAAAAGGCCAGAAAAAAATCCCAATATATCTATCCTCTTGGTACAAGAGGTAAATTCCAAGACTGGTAATATTGAGGTCACTTTAGGGAAATATAAGGCAAATTGGGGCATTTTCCTTCTCCTGTCCAAACCTCACAAATGATCACATGGCTCGTTTACTGCTGTCTAAATCATTCGCCTTTTTTTCTTTCCTTCCTCACTTGCAAATAAGTACCTATCTGCCTCCTGTAGATGTAACCAACCCAATAGAACACTATGGCCATCTATCCTGTATCCTTGTACTCCGGGAAAGTTCATGTCTCAAAATATGTCCCTGTTGATGACTTTGGAGACCCCTATGGGATTCATTTGCTACAAACACTTTTTCTCTTGTGCTCCTCTATCCAGGGGGCTCTCCAACCTCATCATTCTCGCAGAAATTTGTGGTGTGATGGAGAAGACTTAATCTCGTTTGTCCCTAGGGAAGTCAACCCAGCTGAATTAGGTTCACCAACTCTTCAGTAAAGCATCTGTGTTCCACTCGACGCTGCAGTGTATGAAGGACATGGAGCACATTATTTCAGCCCTGGTAAACCTTAAAATCTAACCACTAGAAATAAAGATTCTATAAAATCAAAAACTAGGTTACACCATTCAAACTCAATGTCATGGGAGTTTATAAACTAGCAAATAGATATGAGCAGGGTACGCCAAGGAAGGATTCAAGAAATAAGCAGCCTAGTCCAGCCGGTGTGGCGCAGTGGTTGAGCGTCGACCCATGCACCAAGAGGTCGCTGGTTCGATTCCCAGTCAGGACACATGCCCAGGTTGTGGGCCCGATCCCCAGGGGGGGCATTTAGGAGGCAGCCAGTTGATGTTCTCTCTCATCGATGTTTCTATCTCTCTCTCCCTCTCCCTTCCTCTCTCTCTAAAATCAATAAAGGAAAAAAAAAAAAAAAAAGCAGTCTAGTTTGGGGGCTCCAAGGACATGCAAGCTTTGGGTTGGAGGGGTTAGCGCAGACATTTCCCACCAGCGTGAGGAACACCAAGGTACCCAGGTGTGGGCTTGGGATGGGGAGAGTCTTAAGGAGAACTCTGGGCTGAAAGATGACCTCTGTGAATTTAAATGTTAACTTATTGCAGCTCAATCACTGAACCCCTAAGTTCACCTGGTAGTCTGTGAAATTGAAAATACAGAGGAAGAAAACACTTTCATGATGCATAATGTGTCCCTACTTGATTTCTGTGAACCCTAGCAACATCCTTATGATGCCAGCCAACTTCCCCAGAGTCTTTGATCTCTCTCTGCACAATTCCCAAACACCTGAGGCCTCCCTCTGCCTGTTGAAATGTTGTGGTGTGGTCCGTAGTAATAGTAAATGGCACATAGGTCATTCATTTGGCACTTAACAGTGTGCAAAGCTGTCCTTCATTTACTTCATCCATCCTCACAGTTACCCCGTGAAACACTGTGCAGTTTATAGAAACAGAGGTTCAGAACTATGATTTTTCCCAACATAAAATAATTAATAAACTAGTGCTTGAAGTCAAGTTTTCTGAAACCCAATGATAGTATACCACACCAGTGTTTCTCAAACTTGAGTAATGTATGTACCCTTACAAGAGGGGAAAAGAAACAATGCTTCTCACAGATCACCCCCCATAGGAGGAATCTGAGATTATGTGTATTATAATGTTTAGAAATAAATTAATAATTAATATAGTGTATAATTAATTTTATTTTAATATTCCTTAAATATGCTCAAACATACAACCAGGTAAACCATATAGCTGTTATAGAATTATAAAATAAAAGTAAATTTTAAGTAAAAAACACAAATAAAACTATAAAATTAATAGGCTAAAGTAACAACATAAGTTCGATATACTGGATGACGCTTTGCTGAACCGGAGTCCCTGCTCACTGCGCGAGGAGTACGGCTTGCCTCGGCGTGTGTCCTTCCGGGCAGCGTCCCTGCGCGCAGTATGTGAAGGGAAGACACTCCAACCACCTCCCCCGTCTGTCATCTGCTGCAAAATCTTATCTTCCACTGCGCCGCCCACTTGGAACACATGAATTATTAATTGAGCCCCCATACACTGAAATCAACTTAATTATAAACACAAACATGGAGACAGAAGATAATAATAGCACCAGTTATAGGAGGGTCATCAATATCCAAGATGTTTGACTTTTTAAGAGATTATCATCTCACAAGACAAAAATTTTAAATACTGTAACTTATAGATCCCCAAGGATATATCTGCAATTCCTAGCATTCCTTAAATTTCAGTTTTTAAGAGTTTGATAACTCCAGATACCTTGGGGATCCCAATAATTTGGTGCCCCCTTAGGGACCTCTGTGGCATTATAAGCAGTACCAGGTACACATACTTATGGGACACAATATAATATTATTGTGAATTCAGCATTTTACAGTTTACACAGAGTCAGCGACATTATCTTACTGTATCTTGCCAAGAACACTATAAACTAGATATTTTTATTACTACTGTATAAATGAGGAAACATTTGTCATGAGGGAAGTTAAGGTGCTCATTCCAAAGTCATGAAGCGGAATAGCAGTGCTCAGCACTTGGACCAAGTGTCTTGACTTCCTGTCCACGACACACCATAGCTATTTCTCTATTGATCTCTGTAAAATCAGCCAGACTTTTGGCCCCAGAGAAGGTGTTCTTCACAACATACATGAAATCAGAATGACCAGGGCAAGGCCTGTGCTCTAAGTCTCTTCCTGCATAACACCAATGAGCTGCAAACTTCTCGACAGCCCTGGACCTGTGCATGCTGGCTGGACCACTTACCTACCTCAGGTATCTTTTGGAAAGAGTCTGAAATAAATAAATTCACATCCTGCTTTTGGCCTTATGCTTTGTCTTGATCAAAGGAAGGATACAAGACACTAGAAAAGAATCTCCATGTTTCTCCCTGGTCATAGTTCTTTCAAATGCATAACATCTGTAGAGTCATCCGATGGCCTGTAAACACACCTCTGTTTTCTCCATATGCAAGGCAATTACTAGAACTGCAGTGTCTGATATACTAGCTTCCAGTCACATGTCACTACTTACATTTGAATTTAAGTTAAGATTAAATACAATTTAAAATTCAGTTTCTCAGTCACATTGGTTACCTTTCAAGTGCTCAGTAGCTACGTGTGGCTAGCGGCAGCCACAATGAACAGCAAAGACACAGAACTGTCATCATGGAAACTTGTGTTGGATATTACTGTCCTAGACTACCGTACGCAGATGAATTCTCTGAAACATCCAAGTACAGAGTTCTGACCTCCAGAATGCTTGGGCTCTGGCACACAAAAGGCTCCCCGGGGCCTCTTGACAGGTATGCAATGGAGTGGAAATGGGGGTCTACTAGTTACAACAGTGAAACAAGACTAGAAAGAACCAGAGGACTGAACAAAACTCAAACCCCACGCTGACAGCTACAGCCAGGCTGCTGATCCCTCCTCTCTGTAGGGTATGGTCTGCCCACCAGAATATGCCATCCACGTGCAGCACACAGCTGCCCTGCCTGGCCAGCTCAGCACTGAGGGAATCTGTGCGAACCCGCCTGCGTGATGATTCGTTGGCATTCCAGGGGCTCACCGGGTGTGAAGGGACAGGTCATGGTTTATGACTGCATGGTTGGGTCCGGTCCACTCATGAAGATCATCTACCTCAAAGCTCCATGACTTAAATTCCTCATCCATATTTGTTCAGTATAATTCTTTGGATTTATACCTATAATCTGCATGCCTGGGCTTAGAATGTGGAGTGGTAAGGGGTAAGGAACCAGTAAATTTGTTTCTCCCTGAACTGGCATGATTCCCTTTTTACTCTCCTGTTTCCTGGCAAAGAATTCAAGAGAGGATCATCCAGGACAGCCCAGGGTCTCTCCCTGGCTGTACTTCCTGTCCCCTACCTCCATCTCCCCTGCGATTTTCCCCTATATATTTCTAGAAAGACACAATAAAAGGGAAAATTCTAATCAAACCCTATTTTGAGTGAGAGAGAAAGATAGAGACCACCAGTCAAAGATGGACACCATCCCCAGGTACCAGCTGGGCTCTGATTTAGAGTCTAACGCTACACGGTCCGATGAAAAGACAAGGCGAGCCACATACACGATTTTAGATGTTCAAGTAGTCACATTAAGAGAGTAAAAAGAAACAGGGGACATTAATTTTGATAATATATTTTATTTAACCCAACATATCCATATATTGTCATTTTGACATGTAATCAATATTTTAAGCAACAGATATGATTGTTTACATTCTTATTATTCACATTAAAGTCTTCAGAACCTGATGTGCATTTTACACATCTCAGTTCAGACTAACCACATCTCACAAGCTCGTAGCTGCAGGTGGAGAGTGGCGACCGGACTGCACTGTGCGTGGCCCCAGGAGTCTGGCCTTATTGTCTCCTCTGGTTCTCCAAGGAAAATCTACTTCATTGACTTACACTTTAAACTTTATTTTCTGTTGAATTCTATCTCATTTTAGTCACCTGACCCCTTACGACTTCTCTGGGTCCTTCTATATTTTTATCAACTCCAAATGGTATTTGTAAATGTTTCCCAGTTACCACAATCATGTTGAATAACACCAACTCTCTACCTCAATGCAACATACATCTCTGTCAAATCAAAACAACACTCCCGGGCTGGTGTGGCTCAGTGGATTGAGCTGAGAGATCCCATGGACTGAGAGGTCCCAGTTCAATTCCCGGTCAGGGCACATGCCCTGGTTGCGGCTCAATCCCCAGTAGGGGGCATGCAGGAGGCAGCCGATCAATGTACCTCTCTCACATTGATGTTTCTCTCTCTCTCCCTTCCTCTCTATAAAAGAAAAAGAAAAGATCAATAAAAACATATTATTAAAAAAAAAAAACAACACTCCCTTTTCCTCCTTACATCATTGTGAATTCTGTTCTATTCCCAACCAATTTGCACTAGTTTTGCAAGAAAAATGCTATGTACTGTCAAGGCAAATAACAGCATTTTCCGTGTATCTCTCTTTCTTCCAAAAAACTTGGCACTCTGGACAGATTTCAGCTCATTGCTCCCAACTATAGACCTGGTTCGTTGAAAAGTGAGAAACAAAAATAAAAATCCAAGGAGGAGTAGAAGCTGAACTGTCCTCTTGCTCAACTAGCCCCATTCCTGGGGAGCCGGACAGCGCCTCACTGTACCGGCTCCGAGAGACAGCTTGTTCAGTCTCTCTCGGTTCCTGTGCCCGGGAAAGAAAACCACTCACCTGTAAGCCAACCTCCCTCCTCACTTCTCCAAGAGAGACTGGGAGGGTAGAAAACTAAATGCCGCCTGAACAGAAATGCCACCCCAACCCCAGCACAAAGAAGTCAGGGCTGAAGTTCAGGGTTTAGAGAAGAGAGTTTGGGGGTATATATATTTTTAAAACTCTCTATCACCCTCTTTTTATTTCTCTCCCCGAGGAAGAGTGCTTATTTTTGAAAGCTGGGTTTTCCTTTTAGTGGGAAACAGATTCCTTCTTCAAAGCTCCGCGGGGGATTGAGAGAGAAAAGGTGGGTCTCCGCCCCAAGGCTTCTCCCCCGGTGTGTCGAGTCCTCCATGTCAGTCCCTCACTACACCCCGAGTATGTCCAACAAGAGGGGACTTGAATCGCCTGCCCAGAGAATAAAATCTGAAGACTCGCTGGTTCCCTCGACAGCAGGGTCTTCCCTGTGGGGCTCTCAGCTCCCGACTTGGGTTTTGACACGTTCCTTGGACAAAGCCCCTGCCCTCACCAGCCCAGCCTCTGTCCCTCATCTTCCTGGGCCACTTCACCCCAGCTAAGCTGTCCTGACCACCCCACACAGAGCTGGCACGTCTTCCCGAAGGCCTGGTCTGCTCTCCGTGCCTCCTCACTGCCTTTCCAGGAAACCTTGTGTCCCCACTTAGCTGGAAGTTCTGAAAGGGCCGAGGGACTGGAGACTGTGGCTCATCATCCTCGGCCCTGCAGAAGCGGGGCCCGTGCCTTCGTCACAGAGCGCCGTGAGCGTGTGAGTGCGGACGGAAATGACAGAAATGGGACGAGTGGCTCTGCAGTCCCCCCACCGTCTCCGCCCACCACAGAACCTGCAGCTGGAACCTCTGGCCAGAGCTGTCAGGAGAGTGCATTGCTCAGAGCCACAGAACTGGCTCGAACTGCCGGATTCAAAACCAGGTCAAACTTTTGTTAACATTGCATTCGTAATCAAGATTCAAGGGGCTCACCCTCGTCTGCTGCAATCGCGTGGAAGGAAAGGGTAGTGGAAATGCAGACAGAGCCGAGGATGGCGTTCGTTCACGCAGCTGCACACACACACACACACACACACACACAGCAGTGATGGAGAGGGCACACCCTATACGTCCATTGGTAGTAGCTGAGACAGGCTGTGTCTCCAGGAAGATGCCTCTGGGAGCTAACCAGTCTCTGCTGGGAAGCTGATGTCCCCAAGGCTTCTGTAGCTCAGGACGTTGAAATAGTCGTGCGGCTCAGCATAGTCATCTCCCCTCTGCTCTCTGCGGAGGCCGGCAGGTGCAGCTTCTGCCTGGACGCAGCTTCCAGCGGAGGACAGAACGCTGGGCCCCCATTCTGCCTGTTCAGCGGGTGCTCTCCTATGGCCACTCTCTGCAGAACGAATTCTGAGAAATTTCTCCTAAGAGTAAACAAACAACAGAATATAAAAGGGTGTTATTCAAAAATGACTCCCCAACATGATACATAATAGGAATGATCTCTCTCTTCCTTTCTTACACACAGACACACACACAGGCAAAGTTGTGTTCTTAGCAACACTGATTTCTTGACCTTTCATTTCTCAGGTTTGTCACAGCTGGATTTCAGGACCAACCACTCCACCATGACAAACCTTTCTCCCCACGCAACGCGCCTGCCCCATCCCCTCTATTCACTACGCCTAGTGAGGCAGCTGCGCCCCACGTGTCTCTTACTCTTACCACCCGTACACTGTCCACCTCTTCCTCTTTCAAATGCCCCCTCCCCCAGCTCCATGGCCCTGGTTCTCCTCCTCCCGGGAGCCCACCTGCACCATCAGCCAGGCCTGCCCTTTTTTCTGCTTGTCCATCAGCTCCCCCAAATAAAGGGGGTTCCCAAAATTCTGCCCTCTGCTTCCTCACATTCAACACTTTCTCTGAGTCACTTTGTCTAAAGGCACATCGACAACCATCTTTCCTCTGAAGAGTCCCAAATCTCTATCCACACCAACGGGGGCTTCCTCCCTGAGCTCCAGGTCCAGCTGTCTGCCTGCTAACTGCGCATGGCCACCAGGTGACGCACCGCACGCTCAGGTTCTGTCTGTGTCAGAGGAACCCAGCATACTCCCTCCTCCAGACAGTCCCTAACCTGGGTCATGACACCAGCTGAGAGACCTGGAGGCTGATGTTCAACACCAAGTGGCCATAAAACCCCGTCCTGTTTTACTCCTAGGAAACTCTGAAATCCACTCCCTTTCCTATTCCTCCTTTCATGTCTCTCCTCTCACCCCCACTTCCTTACTCACCTGCCTCTAGGCCCCTCTCCCCTCCAGGCCAGCTTCCACGCGGCCTCCAGCAGTTAGCTTTCAGAAGTGAAAGCTGGATCGTGCCCTGCTTCTGCCCAAACCCTTCGACGTCTCCCAGCACCCACAGGAGCCATGGGAGGATTTCGGGGGATTTATAAAACCACTTTGGGGGAAGATGGCGGTGGGCAGGACTGGAGGGAGGGTGAGTGTGTGAGAGACTGAGTATGTGTGTGAGAGAGTGTGAGTGGACACAAAAGTGAACAACAAACCCGAGCAGTGCAGAGACCTGGAGCAGAAGGTTCCTGTGCAGTGGGCAGGAACAGCCGGCTACCGCCATAAGCAGCCCTTCAGGGCGCTTCTCTCTGCACCGCAGGAAGGTCCCATCATTTTGGAAGATCCCGGATCTTCCCTGGGAGGAAGCAGTGGGAGCGGCTAAGGCCCAGCAACCTGAGCCCACCAGTGCACCTGGCACCATCGGACAAGTGGACACTCTGTGTCAATACAGACCAGTGCACAGTAGTGGAGCTCCCAAGGTGCTGGTCAGGGAAGCTGCATACACCCCGGAGCCCAGCACCATCCCCCACAGTAGCAGCCCGATCAGAGTCCAGATATACCCCCAGCAACAGAGGCTGGGGAGCAGACATCCATCCCCAGGCAACAGAAGCACAGACCGGCAGCTGAGACCCATCCCCAAAAACTACAGCAAAAGCTGAGCAGGAGTTGAGCCCCACTGGGCAGCAGCACTCCCCAGCCGCCAGCAGCAGGACCTGGGGCTCCACAGAGGCCTGTGTGATCCAATAACCCACAAGAGCAGTGGGAAGCTGGAGCCCAAGAGAGACTGGTGCCATCCAGCTGCTGCCCTGGGGAACTGCAGGGTGAGGGGGCAACAGAGAAGCCTGTGCGACCCAACAGGGACTGTGTAATCCAGTTACCCTCAGGACCTGTGGGGTACTGAAGCACCAGAGAGGCCTGTGTGACCCAGCAGGGACTGTGTGATCCAGTTACCCTCAGGACCTGTGGGGTGCAAAAGCATCAGAGAGGCCTGTGGTACCCAGCAGCCCATAACATAGTCATAGAGCCTGGTCCCCAAAGGGACTGTGTGATCCAGTTACCCGTGGGACCTGCAGGGTGCGGGGGCAGCAGAAAGGCCTGTGCGACCTAGCTGCACACAAGATAGGCATAGAGGATGTGAAAAAGGAGGTGGAGTGAATAGAAGCTACACAGACTATCTCCCAGGTCCAAACGAGAATAACAACTAAAATAAAGACAAATCTCAAAAAAAAAAAGCAACAGAAAAGCAGCAGGACAGGACCATATAACCAGGGACACTGGTAGGATCTGTGGAAGCACAAGAGGGTGGCAGGATGGGAGTCCACGAACAGCAACAGTCTTAGCTGTGAGCAGCGCCCTTGGGGAATAAAGAACAAGCCTGCTCCACAGTGCAGAGAGCCGGGACTGAGCACTAAAATAGGCACAGCCACTCACCTGGGGACTACGGTAGAGGGAGGGAAGACTGGGCTGTATTTCTGTGGGGACACCCAGGATTTGGAGGGCACTCAAAGTATTTGCTGAGTTGCGGCCACAGAGGACAGTGGTCAGTGTGCTCCTTCCACGAGCTATGGGGAAAAGCAGCAGCCCCCCCTCGGAGATTCAGCCTTTCCCAGGTGAGGCAAAGAAATGCAAATTGAGGCTCATTAATAACCAGCATCTATCCCACCCTCTGGAAATCCTCATATGCAGAACAGCAGGGCTACATTCCAAGGCACTGAGTAACTGAGACTACTAGCCACCAGGAAAAAACTAGAGGATAACTGAACCTTTCCTGGGCTTGCAAATCTACCCCGGAAAGTAAGACTTCACAGTGGTGTTTAATGTGGGCCCGCCCAGGCTCCTCCAAACCCAATAGAGGGAACCACAAACAGCAGAACACCAACACCCACAAGGAAATTTGGCAGGCTCCAAAACCCACTGAGATAGCCAAAATGGTGAAACAAAGAAACAAATCCCAAATGAAAGAACACGAGAACTCTATCAAAGATGAGATCAGTGAAATGCAGCTAAGCAAATTTTCAGAGGTAGAGTTCAGAGCCATGATCTTGAGGAAGCTCAACAGCATGAGTAAAGACATCAGCACTATGAGTAAAGATATAGAAACACTGAAAACCAACCAAGTGAAAATAAAGAATGACATAGCAGGAATTAAGAACACCTTGGAAGGACTACCCAGCAGAGTAGAGGAAGCTAAGGACTGGATCAGTGAATTAGAAGACAGGGTAGAAAAAATCAACCAAGCAGAAAATCAAAAGGAAAAAATGATTAAAAAACAGGAAGACAGCTTAAGAGAACTGTGGGAAAATGGGAAAAGTAATAACATTTGCATCATAGGAGTCCCTAAAGAGGAAGAAAATGGGCAAGGGTTAAAGAATATATTGGAAGAAATAGTGACAGAAAACTTTCCTAACTTGGTGAAGGAAGAAGGCATTCAAGTTCAAGAAGCATAGGGAGCCCCAAGTAAGAAGAACCCAAACAGGCCCACACCAAGACACATAGTAATTAAAATGCCAAAAATTAAAGACAAAGAGAGAATTATAAAGGCAGCAAGAGATAAGCAACAGGTTACCTACAAAGGAAATCCCATAATGCTCTCAGCTGACTTCTCAACAGAAACACTACAGACCAGAAGGGAGTGGCATGAAGTAATCAAGGTCATGAAAAACAAGGATCTGAATCCAAGACTACTCTATCCAGCAAGGCTATCATTTAAAATAGAAGGTCAAATAAAGACCATTCCAGTCAAAAAAAAAAAAAAAAATGCTAAAGGAATATGTTAACACCAAACCAGCACTGCAAGATATGCTAAAAGGACTGCTATAATTAGTAGAAGAAATAGGAAGAAAAATAGAACCACACTAAACAAAAATGGCAATAAATAAGTACATATCAATTATCACCTTAAATGTAAATGGTTTGAATGCTCTGATAAAAAGACACAGAGTAGCTGACTGGATAAGAAAGCATGACTCACATATATGTTGTTTACAAGAGACCCACCTCACAACAAAAGACTCATATAGGTTGAAAGTGAAGGGTTGGAAAAAATCTTTCAAGCGAAGGGAAAGCAAAAAAAAGCTGGGGTAGCAATACTCACATCTGATAAAATAGATTTCAAAATGAAGGCCATAACTAGAGACAAAAAAAGCCACTACATAATATTGAAAGGATCTATCCAACAGGAAGATACAGCCTTGGTAAAAATATATGCACCCAATATAGAAGCACCAACATATATTAAAAATATTTGGGAGGACTTCAAAGAAGAAATCAACAGAAATACAATCATTGTAGGGGACTTCAACACCTCGCTGACATCACTAGATAGACCATCTAGACAAAAAATTAACAAGGAAACAGAGACTCTAAATGAAGCGCTAGATCAAATGGATTTCACAGATATCTACAGAGAATTATACCCAAAAACTGCAGAATTCACATTCTTCTCAAGTGCACATGGGACATTCTCAAAGATAGACCACATGTTAGGGCACAAACGAAGTCTCTACAAGTTCAAGAAGACTGAAATCATATCAAGCATCTTCTCAGATCACAATGGCATGAAACTAGAAATCAATTGCAACAAGAACATACAAAGATATTTGAAAACATGGAGGCTAAATAGCATGTTGTTGAACAATGAATGGCTTACCATGGAGATCAAGGAAGAAATTAAAAACTTCTTGGAAACCAATGAAAATGAACTTACAACAACACAAAATCTATGGGATGCAGGAAAAGCAGTTCTGAGAGGGAAGTTTATAGTACTACAGGCCTACCTCAAGAAACAAAAAAAATTTCTAATAGACTATCTAACCTCACAACTTAAAGAAAGCAAACAAAAAGAAAACCCCAGCAAGTAGAAGGAACAAAATAGTAAAGATCAGAGCAGAAATAAATGACATGGAGACCAAAAAAACAATTCAAAGGATCAATGAAACAAAGAGCTGGTGTTTTGGAAAGATAAATAAGATTATCTTAGCTAGACTCAACAAGAAACAAAGAGAAAAAATCCAAATACATAAAATCAGAAATGAAATAGGAGAAATAATAACTGACACCACAGAAATACAAAGGATTGTTAA